GTCCTGCAGGGGGCGCTGAGGCCGGGGCGCGGCTGCACCCACCTGGGTTCCTTTCTCTCCGGGGGGGCCCTCTTTGCCGGGGTGCCCCTGTGGGAAGGAGAAGCTGCATTAGTTGGTGCCCATGGATGCTCCTCCCCCTCCCCTGCGACGGGCGGTCCTGCCGTGTGAGAGTCAGAGCCGGTCCTGCCAGGTGCCGCCCACTCCCTTCCCTACACACACACACACATGCACATACACACGCACACACGCATGCAAAAAACGCACGCACACACACATGGGTACACACATGCACACACTCGTGTACGTACACATATGCATGCACACACGCGTACACACACGCACATGTACACACACACACGGAGTTGAGATCAGGACCACAGCCCCGAACACGCGTGGTCACTCCCAGCGGCGTGGCCCAGGCCAGTCCCTCAGCCGCTGACCTCAGCTGCTGCTTCTGCGAAACGGGAACAAGGCCAGGCCCCGGCGACGGGCGGGGCATGGGCCGGGAGCAGAGGGGCATGGGGCCGGGAGCAGGCAGGGGACAGACGCGGACTCTTGCCGTGAACAGTAGCGGGAGTCCCGGGTGCTCAGGACACCCCAAAACGCCAACGGCTTTAACCCCCCGACTTGGGCCCTGAACACACTGTCAATGGGCAGGAGGAGCCTCAGCCCAGAGCCTGCACGGTCCCCAGTCTCTGCCTGTCGAGGTCGGCTGCACCCGCACCCCCACGTGTAGAAACCAAGGGGGTGGGACGGGGGGACCCAGCTCCCGGGGGAGTGTCCCCACGACAGGGAGAGGGCACAGCTGCCCCCGCCTCCCTTCTGAGCAGGCGGCTGCACCCACCTGGGTTCCTTTCTCTCCGGGGGGGCCCTCTTTGCCGGGGTGCCCCTGTGGGAAGGAGAAGCTGCATTAGTTGGTGCCCATGGATGCTCCTCCCCCTCCCCTGCGACGGGCGGTCCTGCCGTGTGAGAGTCAGAGCCGGTCCTGCCAGGTGCCGCCCACTCCCTTCCCTACACACACACACACATGCACATACACACGCACACACGCATGCAAAAAACGCACGCACACACACATGGGTACACACATGCACACACTCGTGTACGTACACATATGCATGCACACACGCGTACACACACGCACATGTACACACACACACGGAGTTGAGATCAGGACCACAGCCCCGAACACGCGTGGTCACTCCCAGCGGCGTGGCCCAGGCCAGTCCCTCAGCCGCGCATGCACACACACACACGCACGCACACATGGAGTTGAGATCGGGACCACAGCCCCGAGCACGTGCGGTCACTCCCAGCGGCGTGGCCCAGGCCAGTCCCTCAGCCGCTGACCTCGGCTGCTGCTTCTGCGAAACAGGAACAAGGCCAGGCCCCGGCGACGGCGGGATCCACCGCGGAGGGGACCCCACTCCCTAACCCGCAGCTGGGCTCCAGGCCCACAGAGGCCCCAATGCCGGCATCCAGCTGCCATCTAAGGCAGGTGGGTGGGGACAGCGGCCACCAGGGCATTTGCTCAAGGTCACCCACCTCCCAGGCCCTCGGGGAGCAAGAGAGCCCTCCACCTGGGCACACCCTCATCTCCGGGGAGACAATCACTTCCCGCCAGGAGAGGTGAGCGTGGATTCGCCCTCGGGATGGCTCCGCGCGTGACCAGCGAATGTTCGTCCTGAGCAAGTTACCACCATGACCAGAATGGAGCCCACTCCTTTTTGTTTTTGGTTAATCCTCACCCGAGGATATTTTCCACTGATTTTTAGAGAGAGTGGAAGGGAGAGTGAAAGACAGAGAGGGGAACATCGATGTGAGAGACACATCGCTTGGTCGCCTCCCACAGGAGCCCCGACCAGGGCCGGGGATCGAGCCTACAACAGAGGCCTGTGCCCCGACCAGAATCGAACCCGGGACCCTTCAGTCCACTGGCCGACGCCCTATCCACTGAGCCGCACCGGCGAGGGCCCAGCTTCTTTACAGACATTTGAAGCTGTGTTTGCAGAATGAGAGTGGCTATTGGTGGGGGCAGGGGGGGCGGGGGCAGGCAAAGCGGGCTTTAAACATGTTCGGACAGAAGAGGATCGGGAGGAACACAGGCGAGGGGCTGTTTCCACGAGGGAAGCCCAGGCCGCGGCCCCTCCCCGCTGTTTGCCTGCCCCCCGTGTTCTGGAACGAGCCCCACTTCTATAACGGGAATTAATGAAGCTGAAATTACTTGCATTAGGTATTTTTCTGATTAAAAAAGCGATATGTGCTCATCGTACACAATTAGGCAAACGCAAAAGCAAATTAAAATCCTCTCTGCGCGCCCCTCTCCCAGCGTCAGGGCTCCCCGCGGGAGGCG